TAAGGGGTCACAGGAACAACTCTTGTTCACGTCTTGTTCACGTGTTGTCTTTGTTTTTCTGTGTTTAATTCATGGTTTGTCTAGCTTGGCTCACAATAATATTTTAGATTATTATTTCTCAACCTTTTGAAGTAGAAACAGTCTTTGGTTGAACTTAACGTTTGTTTTAAGGGGTTACAGGAACAACTCTTTTAGATAATAGTGTGCTTTCAACAGCCTGACAGTGAGAGGTTCATGATCTGATAGTGGATGTTGTTATAGCAGTCAGGGTTTTATAGGTGAACTATTCAACAAATCACATAAGACTGCAATATTTGGGTGTCCACATATTTTTTAAGGGGTCACAGGAACAACTCTTTTAGATAATAGTGTGCTTTCAACAGCCTGACAATGAGAGGTTCAAGATCTGTAGTGGATGTTGTTATAGTAGTCAGGGTTTTATAGGTTCAACAAATCACATAAGACTGCAATATTTGGATATCCACATATTTTTGGCCAAGTAGTGAACGCCCATGTTGAGGTAAGAAATGAGTCACACATGTAATTAAAATCTTAGAGTTTATTTATACATATACATATAAATGATGTGAACTATGTAGTTACTACAGAGCTTCAGGTTTTTCTCAGCTGAAATCACAAAAGTGTGGCGAGACAATGAACCTTTACTAAACTGTGGCCTGGAAAAAACCTTTCATACAAATACCGCTATGAATCACTGCCAACATATTCAGAGCTCTTCCATGGAAAATTATACTGTTTAAGAATACTGACTTTCTTCCTGTCTGTGTTGTGAGATCGCTATCGAATCCTGCCAGAGAAGAAGCTCTCAGTGTTGTGTCCGATCTGATATTGTGTCAATCTCTCAGCCGTTGTGCGCCAGTCCGGCAGCAAACTCCACCAGCGTACGCGTTGGTCTTCCAGACATGCCTCTCCTCAGGTAGGGAACTTCATCTTTGTTACTCATCACACCAGCGATGTCCAGATGGGCCCAATGAGGAGCTGTGACAAACTCTCTCAGGAATGCTGCTGCTGTGCATGCCCCGCCAGAACTAGAGAGATCACCAACAGACCAGAATAAGGTCGATAAAGCCATAAGTACTAACACTACTGGGCCCTGTTCGTCAAATGTGGCTTAAGTAGTTCAGTCTAACATACTATAATCAGGCTACAATAATGTTCTTTATTAATCTGGTTCCTCCTTGTTAACCCTGAATGAAGTTATTTTGAGTAACGTTGTCCTCTTATTTTAAAATATACGATGAGTGTTGATTATGTGATTGCAGTTACATGAGGTAGGTGTATCTGCAACCCTCCCAGCATGCACTGGGGCAACAAACCGATGGACATAAGTCTCATTTTATGTGTTCCTATGTTTGTTCTACAATGTGCTCCACAAACACTGTTAAATTCTATTAGATATATAATAACTTAGAATAAAATATTTAATAACATTATGGACGTGAAAATAAAAAATTAAACAGCAGAATAATTCTTTCCCATAAACATATCTAAAGCAAGAAATAATAATTATCCAATACATTTTATAGACATTTAAAGGCCTAAAAATCTGATTATTGGATTTTAGACGTTTTAAGACCGCATGGACATGCTGTTAATAATTGAATTAATAATTTCAGTGTTCAAGTGATGAATTCCCATTTTAATGTCAAATTAAATACCATATTTTCAATTTTTAATCATATATAAGTATAGGCAATTTCTTATTATAATGTAATTATAATAACAGATCTCAGTGATTTTACAATAACCTTCATGTTCTCAACTAAAATCTGAATAATATCATTATACTTACAGCCATTTATATCTTGTCTTGGTTCTGATAAGACACCTACCCTTAATAAGCTTAACCCTTAATAAGCTACCCTTTTGCATGTTTGGACTTTAGGACTTGTTGCTCTGACAACAGTTCCAGATTAATAAACCAGCTCAGGTTTCTGTGCTGCTCTGATGTCTGAAGCAAGAGCTGCAGGCGAGTACAGTGAGATACGTACCGGCTGTACTTGCCGATGTTGTTGAGGTCAGCCAGCTGGCTGTCAGTCACCTGTCTGGTGTAGTGCTGGAACAAAGGCATCCGCCACACTCTGTCACCCGTCACAACACTAGCCTACACACAATACACACACACACACACACACACACACACCATTAGTCAACACAGGAGCGGAGAGACTAAGATGTTGAGTGTGTTCGTTGTGCAGACACTCTACCTTGTGCAGCTGCTCATAGAGCCAGTCAGAGTTTGTAAAGACTCCAGTTGCTGCTGAGCCGAGAGCTACATCCATCGCACCTTGGAGACAGAAGAAACCACATTTTAATATTTAGTAATTACATCTGCGTTTCTTTTACTTAATTACACAACATTACCAGCCTAAGGTGGCTTTCACAGCTGCTGCTCAGTTTAGATCCGTAACAACTCTTAGTTTTGGTCTGTTTCGTGTACTGACTTATTACCAAAAAACTGATAGCAGTAAAGATGAACTCAAATGTACACGGAATAAGGGGTATTACATTCTTCAAAGGTCCCTAGCAAGATTTTAATTGGGAATGTTGCTGCCGTCTTAACCACTAGACCACCTGAACAACTCGCCACGCCTATGTTTAAACTCCTTTTTTACTTTCTGATGAATCAGGGGAAATTCCTGCACTTCCGGATGTGTTCATAATTATATATTATCATGTATGTAAATCACTTTGACATTTACTTCCTTGAGACGCAGTTTTTTAGGTGGTCTCCATCCGATTATTAACAGTCTTCACCCCAGACCATATGAGCAAATGCACCGAAGTTTGTCTGAATCGTACCAAACGAAAGTCAAGCTGAAGTCAAAACCAGCCTCATAACATGATGCAAAGGTGATGTAAACATAAAGTTGTTTTCCGCCTCAAATGTAAATAAACTCAATGAAGAATCCCACCTGTTAGTGTAGCAACATTGACAATGGCCCTAGGGTTGAAGGTGTGTCCATAACACAATGCGTCAGCGAGAATCAGTCGGCCTTCTGCGTCTGTATTATCAACCTGCGCACAATGACAACAAAAACCTGTTGATCTGGACACACACATATAAGTGCACAACTGTTTCACACTCAGGTAACTGTTTGAAACTTTAACATTTCATAACATACCTGGATTGTTTTTCCATTTTTGGCTGTGACAACATCACCTGGTTTAGTAGCTTTTCCACTGGGCATGTTCTCACACAGGGGAGCCAGACCTGATTTACAGTAACATTACAAAACAACACAACAATATGTTACAATGACATAATCAAACATAAGTGCTATACAGTATAGCATAGTGATTCAAAGACAGTTTCATATGATAGAAAATGATCACCAATAATGTTGATGGGCAGTTTCAGAGCAGCTGCTGTGACAATAGACGCACACACGGTGGCAGCTCCTCCCATATCGGCTCTCATTGCATCCATGGAAGGAGACGGCTTCAGAGAAATACCACCACTGCCAACAAACAGAGAGAGTGACACAGACCACCTCAATGTGAGCACTGTAACGTTTTCTACAAGATGTGATTTAGATATCCTCCTGACTGTGAGCTGGAGTGTGTATTATTATGGTTTAGAGCTGTGCGATATGACAACAGAGAAACAGTCTATTGTTTCATATTATGGTTTTTTTTGTTGCGTCACAAATCTTTACGGCACCATTTTTATCATTTGGATGCCGTTTTGTGTTCTTCTGCAGGACACAGATGCAGGCAGGAAATTTGCATGAAGGCAACCGAAACAAACATGGTGGAGAGTAAACGTGACACAGAAAGGAGTCATTCTGAACAGGAGAAAGACTCCGATCAACCAGGACAAAATGAGGAGCTCATAGCTTAAAATAAGTGCTACATGTGTCCTATGGGTTGGGTATGAAAAGTCTGACATGATGGTCATTTATATTCTACTCATTGAATTTACAGACAATGTTCTATATTATTATCCAGATATAAAATCACCTACATCAGGACAAGGGATTTTGGTCATATCACGCAGCCCCATTATGGTTTACCTGTCAAAGGTGATGCCCTTGCCCACTAAGAGCAGCGGGGCCTGCGTGCTGTCGGGAGAACCGTTGTAATGTAGCTCCAGGAAGACGGGGGGCTCCTCTGAACCTTTGGACACGCTGAGAAACGCTCCCATCTGTTGCTCCTCTATCCAAGCCTGAGATCTACATAAACACATTAAATATTAGACAAAAACTCTTCTCCTGCGTCAAAAAGGATCAATAATCAGACTACACAATATTTCAAGTGATAGAATATTTAGATTTAGCTGTTACAACAGATCATTCATATAATTGTTATATTTGTATTTATCCTCACATCTTTCTGTTACTGCTATCATGTGAATGTCTTTCAGAAAACGCTTTGAGTCATTTTAAAGTTATAAGAGTAGATTCAGAAATCCATTATTTTCATTATTGATTCTTTTTTATTATTACTAATGAATCATTCAGGCTCTATAATGTAAGAAGCGTCTTCTACAGCCCACAGTAACATCTTAAAATCGCTTGTTTAATGCAACCATACATCCACAACCCAAAGACATTCATTGTCCATGTGATATAAAAACAGCAAATCCTTACA